TTTTTAACAATATCAATTTAAAGAATAGCCTGGCAATGGGGCATTCCAGATAAATGGAGCACTTAGCTCAAGATCATGGCATTTAACATGAAAACAAAGGAACCAATATAAGAAATGTCTTAAAACATCTACTATTAAAGAAAGTTGATTACGTACTCATATTTAAAAAAATTATTTTTGGCTTTTTGAGTCAGGGTCTCCTTGTAGCCAAAGCTGGCCTGGAACTTGCTATGTAGACCAGGCTGGCCTCGAACTCACACAGATCCTCCTGCCTGCCTCCCGTTATTAAAAAATTTTAACAATACTTTTTATTTTTTAAATTGGCATACAAAGTGGTAGATATCATTATAACTTTTCAAAAGAAGTGTGTTTTAGTGATTCTCCTCCCCTCATTCCCTCCTCAACCCATCCTTAGTTCCCCTCCCCCAAGTCTCTTTTCCACTTTTACGGCCTACCACCTGTCCTATCACCACCTAATTTTTACTGTCTATTGGTCTCCTTTTCAGTATAAAAGCCAGATGACTCAAATTCAGAAAGATAAAAACCGCATGTTTTCTCTGATATGTAGTTCTTAGTGTGTAATGTATGCATGTGTATATAAAAATGGATATAAATGTGGGTAAAGCCTAAATATTTATTTATTATTTATACATACATATATACATACATACATGTATATTGTACATATGAGTGTGGGTACACACATGGAGGTTATAGGACAACTTTTGGGAGTTGGTTTTCTCCTTCTACCCTATGGGTTCCAGAGATCAAACTCAGGGTTGGCAGCAAGGACCTTTTACCTGCTGAGCCATTTCACTGGCCTGTGATACTGTGTTCTTAATAATTTGGTTTCCTAATCAGCTCTAGATGATTTATATTCTTTGAGCCTTTGTGTACTTGTCATAGTTAATTTTGTGCCGTCTTGATGGGGGCCACCAGATGTACAGATATTGGTAAAACAGTATTCTTGATAGGTCCATGAAGGTGTTTCTGAATGAGATTACCATCTGAATCAGTAAGCCAGGCACAATAGGCTGCCCTCTATCTTAGACCATGTTTTGCTGATATAATTGAATACCAAAGACTGAGTAATTTGTAAACAATAGAAGTTTATTTGGCTTACAGCTGTGCAGGTGGGAGGTCCTAAGGTATGGTACTAGCATCCCAAAAGGCTGTCACTGCATCAAAACATAACAGAGGAGCAAGTGGACATGCGTGACACACAGAAAAGACAGGGGGTTCATCAGGTGTCCTCATCCACCATATACAACTCATTACTACAATCATAGCATTAATCCCTGAGGATCACAATGGCAATTATTAAGTCAAACTTTGGAGAGGAAGGACATTGAGCCCACAGCATCCCCCATAACGTGGATAAGCCTGATCAAATCAGCTGAAAAGGGGAACAGTTCTAAGTGGAATAGAAAAGGTTGAATGAAAGGGAACAACTTCTGCTTGAGCATATGAGTTTGGGCACTGGCCTTTACCAACCTGCCCCCTCCTATTGAAACATCATGTCTTCTTGTGCCTGGAGGATAATGACTTTTAAGCTGGAATGGCTACTTTGACTTTGGCTGACCAAGGTCTCCAGCTTGCCAAATGAAAATCATGGGATATAGCGTCCATATTTACATGAATGAAATTTTATAACAAAATGCCCTCTCTCTCACTCTCTCTCTCTCTCTCTCTCTCACTCCTCGCTCTCTCCCACACACACACACACACACACACATACACACGCACCCTCTTGCTGGTATTATTAATTTGGGTAACTCTACCTTAGTACAATACTTAAATTATGGGAAATTCTAACTTTTTATAGGGATTAGCACTCTCTTCTTCAAAATATAGGCTTATTTTAGTTAGATTTTCCTTGCAGTGACAGAATACTAGAGGAAATCTACTTAAAGAAGGTAGTTTATTTGGCTCATGGTCCATCAGGGCAGGAAAGGCATGGTTATGGGATTGTGAGGTGATGGGATTGTCATGTTAGGGTTGCTTACATAGCATCTGGTCAGGAGGCTGAAAAGAGACTGTCATTTTCTCCTTCCTTCCTTTTTATTTGGTCTGGGATACCAGCTCATGAGTTAGGGCCACCTACTTCAGGATGAATCTTCCTATTTTAGTTAAAATTTCTGGAAACACACTCATAGATATTCTCAGAGGTGTGCCTGCAAGATAATCATAAATCTAGTAAAGTTGACAATGAAAGCTGACCATTACAAGGTTCTAAGGTTCAAAGAAAGAAGAGCTATTGTTATTTTCATACAATAGTGTTATCACATGAGCTAGCCATGGTACTTAAATGTTCAGTTTGCAATTTCTTGAGCCATAGAACACATCACAGGTGTTCTATGAATGCTCCATGAAGTGACTGAAGGAAGCTGGAAATCAGGAAAGCTGGATTCCACTTTCAATTCTCCCACAAGTAATTGTACAAGTTAAGCTGCATCAAGTTGTTTCTCTAGATTCATGTTTATGGTACATTTTCATCTGAATTTCATTGAAGTTCACTTTATGAAGTTTTTGGACCCTTACTGACTACAAATGAAGAGTAATTTTATGAGTAATAACAGCCATTGTATACCGAGCATCTCTTTTGTACCAGAGATTGTCCTATGCACAAATGACATTTAAAATTTTACCTAAGTTAAAAAGTATATGATAGGGGGCTGAAGAGAGGGCTCAGCAGTTAAGAACACTGGCTCTTCTTGCAGAGGAACTGGGTTCGGTTCCCAGGACCAACACGGCAGCTCATAACCATTGGTAACTCAGGTTCCAGGGTATCTGATGCCACCTTCTGGCTTCCTGAGACACAGCATGCACATGGTGCACATACATACATTTAGGTAAACATTCATCCACAAAAATATAAACAAA